GAAGTTTTATTAATAGCTGACATTACTATGAGAATCACTGGAAAACCTCGGAGTACTGAACAGCTGTTTCGTCCCGGTTTGGGACTCCTCATCAGTCACACTCACCAGGTTTCCAACCCAGGACATTCCGGTTATGAGGTGAATTTCCAGACCATTTAGTCACTGGAAACTGACCCAGTGGCTCATGAATTCCCTCTTCTGATAATTCGCAATACATACAGCGTAACCTCCACTTAGGATCATGGATGCATAACAGTTCTCCTACCAGAGTTAGTGAACCCCTCTCGTCCCAATCTCCCACCAGAACCGGAATGCCATGAGTTCGAACCACAGCAGGTGCATACCATTGAAGAGCCCAAAACTGTGACGAAATAGCTGTCCAGTACTCCCTGCTGGTTTTCCGCTGGTTCTCTAACTTTTGTCAGCTTATGCTCAAACTAGTAACCAACCAAATCTGTGTAAACCAACACTTAGCAACATATTTATTTATCATTTTTGCTTACCATTTCTTCCCAACATAATTGTTCATATTTTTCCATTTCTTCAGAAAGACGTTGTAACAGTAACTGTTTCCTATTGAATAATTCAGCTAATATTTTCTCTTCATTATCATCAGCAGCAGCACATACATCGGTGGATTTCGTTTGCTGAGGTTTGCTTTCATTATTGATTTTATGCCCTGAATCATTTTGATGTGTTGATGAATTGATTGACTGCTGTTGGTTAGGTGTATTCACTTGTGGATGATTAGCAGAGGAGTTATCATTGTTAGGCTTGCTTTTCAACTGGATTCCATCTGCAGTCTGAAGGTTCTCATCAGCTTTATTATTATAATTATTATTGTTATCCTGAATGTCGGTCTGTGCAACGACCATTATTTGAAGGATTGAAATACGAATATGAAGGAAAATAGAAACCTGGTGGGGTTAATTAGCGTTCAACTATTTGGATTGTTGGCATTCGGATACAGAGATTAAGTGTTTTCTTCGTTTTCTTCTTATTCTTCTTCAATTCTGATCTCTACTCATAATGATATCTAAAGTTATACAAACAACAAGATTTACACTGTAAGTGAACGAAAATTTGCAATTTGTAGTGCAATGATACTTCATCCGAGTAAATCAGCTTATACAATGATTCCCTTTTATAAATTTGAACAAAGAAAGAAAAAACATTGGCGCGCAGAATAATCTAGATACGTTTTATTTCGTCGGTTCTCATCAACAGCTGCGTAAAACCTGAATTCTTTAATAAAATAAAAATAAAAAGTGTACAGTTTTAACAAACTTTTGTCCATTAGCAAGCATATTGTCAGAGTGTCATAGTGAAATAAGGCGTTGCGATTTACAAGGTGTCTAATGTGTTACGACATATATATATCTTCAAGTGTTGGTTTGTAGGGATTTGATTGGTTACAGGATTTATCATGGGCTGACATTAGATAGAGAACCATTGGAAAACCCGGGAGTAATGGACAGCTGTTTCGTCCTATTTTGGGACTCTTCATCAGTACGCGCCCACCACAGGGGTTCGAACCCAAGACCTTCTGGTTACAAGGCTAGTGAGCTCGTAGACCATTAAGCCACTGGGACTCGCCAGTCCAATGACCAACCCATGAATTCTAACTTCTGCCAATTCATGACATAGCGCGACCCCTAGCCAATGTCTTCGGTGAGTATTTGTCCTCACATCCGACCTACTGCACGCTACTGGTCACGACTTCTGATGAAGAGGCCCAAACTGGGACGAAACAGCTGTCCAGTTCTCCCAGGTGGTTTTCCAATGGTTCTCTTACTAATGTCAGCTCACGATGAAATCCTGTAACCAATCAACCAAATCCCTACAAACCAATACTTGAATAGCAATGAGATGTTCACTAGCGACTTGCCCTATTCAGGTAGGTAGTTACCTGAGGTTCCAGTGGGAAGTCGTGACCAGTAGGGTGCATCAGGTTGGGTGTGAGGACAAATACTCGCCACTGAAGACATTGGCTAGGGGTCGCGCTATGTCATGAATTGGCAAATATATATATCTTGTTAGAGAGAAGTTTCTTGAAAAAATTAATTAACAATTGTGTTGTTGGGGTGGTAACAAAAGAAAATTCGTAATAGTTATCTAATTACGAAACTGTCACTAATTTTCTTTTGTTACCACCACAACAACACAACTAATAATTAATTTTTTCAAGAAACTTCTCTCTAACAAGATATATATATGTCGTAACACTTTAAACACCTTGTAATTCGCAACGCGTCATTCCACTATGACGCTCTGACAATATGCTTGCTAACGGACAAAAGTTTGTTAAAATTGTACACTTTTACTGTTATTTTATTAACGAATTCAGGTTGTGCGCATCTGCTGATGAGAACCGACGAAATAAAACGGATCCAGATTATTCTATGCGCCAGTGTTTCTTCTTTCTTTGTTGAAATCAGCTTACTCAAAAGGAGTATTAATCATTAGTGAATGATAACTAGAAGTCAGTCTCTTCATAACTTTCAGCGTCCTTTTTGACCTTTTAAAATCAATACCTTTTGATAGATACATTCAAACAGTATACTTTCTTCTTAGTCAAGATGCTGTGGGCATGATTTCTATCTGTGTAGGACATTTTGAAATAAAAGAGTGTCTTTGAAGGCCATCCTAACAACAACTATAGTTCTCATAACTATCCTTTGTTATATAAAGTAATATTGTCTCATAAGCCAAACAGATAAGTACTCAGTTGTCAGTATTGCAATAAGATGTTGTCTGTTCCTGTCACATTGCTAAATATGAAATTACATATGCAATATCCATCGTTGAATTTTAGATTTTCCCGTCAACTGATTGATTCGACCGAAGTGCTTGGTCTTAGGTTAACATGTCGGCTTCTTGTGCAAATGCTTCGACGATATCTGGGCATGTAATTAGAATTTAATTGGTGGATGGTGAGTAGCAGTGGAATCCAGGACAACGCGCATTTCGTCCTAATTGAGACTCGTTGGCGACTGGATGTACCTGCATTCCCCAGTCAGTGAGTGGTGTTGTTCCCACAGAGACTCGAACCCAGTGCCGATAGTTCCAAACGCCAAAGTGTTATCCACTAGACCACTTGGGCTACAAGAGCCGCCTCTTGTGCAACGGGTCATAATGATTATTTAATTCAATTTTCCTGTCAATTGATTGGACCGAAGTGCTCGGTTTCAGGTTGATATGTCTGTACATTCAGATGACGAGTCCCAAAGTAGGACGAAATGTGCGTTTTCCTGGATTCCACCGCTAGTCACCATCCACCAATTATGTCCAATCTAGTTTCTAGGATGATGTTTAAAATCATTCAGAGAAAAATGTGTTGATTTCCAAAGGAAGACACGCCGAGGTTATGTACTACTGAATGATGATTGACATAAGTAGCTGGACACTACTCACATTAACCAGTATTGATTAACTATTAGATGGTTGGAGGTAATCGGCAAGAAACCTTGCCTGACCTAGGTTTCGTGCAATTTGGCACTCACAAGCTAGCAAGGCGGCGCATCTGCAACCTTGAATGAACTTCTGAGATTCGAACCCGTGTCACTCACTGATGCAATCAGAGACGTTACCACTGAGCCATTCGGGCTTGCGATTGACCTCCTGTAGGACTGTATTGGATACTTTGATTGGACACCAGTGCTTAGCTATCCAGACTGAAGTGTTTTAAACACTGGACGGCCGTTTTCCCCGTCTAATAATAATAACCTGCTTTATTCAAAAACAAACAGTACTTGTAATACAGCATGGAATTTTCAGAATTTGTCACAATATTCCATCTAAATTTACTCAAAATATAAATATAAAGTAACCACAGGAGTTTGTCCTCATTCACAGTAGGAATAAAGTCAAAAATGTGCAAAGCGCAGAGTGAGAGTAATAACTAAAATAATAATAACAATGGGTTTGTTTCAAACAACACTGTCGATACACTATGGAAATTTTGCCATATTACAGAGTATTGAATCCAATGTCCTGTTGATACAGCATGGTGAGGCGAAAAACAAAAAAATAACAATTTATTATAGAGATTAAATGATGTTTACACAGTTGCTTCGTGCCTGACACTATTTTCATCACACAAAATACCTGCCGTCAAATATGGTATCGTGGAATTTTTATACTTAGATGTGCGTAGATTAAATCTTTTAAAATGACTTCTTGTTTTACTTGAAGTGATTCAGTAAGGTGAAAGCTGCGAGTGTTGCAGTGGATGTCCACAGTCTGACATAGTCCCTTTAGCAAATTTGTTGTATGAAATCAAGCGCCTGTCAATGATGATGTCAAAGATATGGCCAAGTGGGATACCACTCTCCCTACTGACAGTCAGTCTTTAGAGTTCTAAGAAGTATGACATAGTCTTTCTTAAGCAACCCAGGAATGAATAAGACTGAGCAGTAAAGAAAAACAGGTAAGATGCACGAATTCACAAACTGTAAGAGGATGAGTGGTTGAGTTATGCCGGAGTACCTTAACTTCTGAATGCAAACGGTCAGACGGAGTACATGGGAAACGCTGATCCATGGGAAGACCAGAATAGATCAGAATAAACAATTAGTCCAAGGTACTTAACGTCAAACTTGATTTCTACTTCAGTATCATCAATTTACAACGGTCGTGGGAATTCGCAGCTTTATTCAACTTCCTTTTACATCGGAAAGGTTTGTTAGTTGGTTCTTGCCTGACACTATTTTCATCACACAAAATACCTGCCGTCAAATATGGTATCGTGGAGTTTTCATACTTAGACGTGCGTACATAAAGTCTTTTAAAATGACTTCTTGTTTTACCTGAGGTGATTCAGTAAGGGGAAAGCTGCAGGTGTTGCAGTGGATGTACACAGTCTGACATAGTTCCTTTAACAAATTTATTGTATGAAATCAAGTGTTCTAGGGTAGACGTCATCAGTGGTTTAGCCGGTTGATGAATCAGCTTAGAGAAGCCTGAGTGCCTTGAAACTACCCGGAAATTCTGGTTAACCACACGGGTGAGCTGATCTGAGTCAAACCGGGTAGACTGCTGATAAGATCGACGTCAAACGAACAGAACAGCCGCCACCCCCCCCCACGTGTTCAGATCATTTCAACGTGGCAGGTTAGCAAACACTACTCCTATCAATCGATCAGTAGTTTGGAGACACCTACATGTAGACTATCAGTCAGGCGATATCCTCTGATGTAAATATTTTTGGTTTTCAAAGGCAGTTGCAATAAAATTTCAACTGGATTTGTGTAAATAGGAAATCACGTATAAATTTACAGATTGCGTGAATTTGATTTAATACTGTAAATAAGGTTTAGTTGTTTTTGTTGCTCTTGTGGTTGTTTTGTCTATTGGGCGCTTCAACTTATCACATGATTTCCAGAAGAAATTTCAACAGTCAACAAACTAACTGACATGTCTGTATAGAAGACATACATAAGCAAGCGATAAATTCATACATATTATTAAGGAGACAGAAACGTAGTGATTATATAACAGAAAAACTATACGTGTGAAGGAAAAATTAATCAAAACATCAAGATTGGCTACAGGATTTCGTCATGAGCTGACATTGGTTAGAGAACCACTGGAAAACCACCTAGGATTGCTGGACAGCCAGCTGTTTCGTCAGCCTAGTTTGGGACTCTTCAGCAGTACGCACCCAAACCACGGGGTTCGAGCCCAGGACCTTCTGGTTACAAGGCGAGCGAGCTAGTAGACCATTAAGCCACTGGGACCCACCAATCCAATGGCCAACCCATGAATTCTAACTTCTGCCAATTCACGATATAACGCAACCGCTATAACCAATGTCTTCGGCGAGTATTTGTCCTCACACCCGACCTACTGCACCCTACTGGTCACGACTTCCCAC